TTGTCAGGCTTTTCCTGAGCTGATAAGGTGAAGTCTAATTAGTCACACAACTGTTTTATTTTCCTGGGTAATGAGCATATGCCAAGGGGCTTATTGAAAAAGTACATGTTTTAGAAAACTTAAATTTAAAAAAGCACATCAAATATCAAATACAGTTGTTTCAAAATTTCTTCTCCAAGTGACACATTGATTTTCACACCTTAGAGCATAATTCAAAGAGTTTTTAATCCTGCAGGTTTTCTTTTTGTTAAGGTGTAAAAAAAAAAAAAAATCCCTTAACTTATATTACCTTGTACATGCCTCTGACTTTTCAGTCACAGATGCTCATACATAGAAAATGAACTTCTGTACATTTCTGGTGCCACTGAGCCAATGCTGTCTATGCAAGAGGAACTTATTAAATATGAAATAAGTGGATCTCTCATGAGTTGGTAGGTGGGTAAGTAGGCGGTAGGTATTGTCAGGTTTCAAACTGTCTACATTCTTAAAAGTGTCTAACATTCTGCCTCCACAAATAAGGAGACACGTTATTAAATTTCTTTTCACCAGCTCTTTTCTTAGGATGAGTCTGAATCTTTCATCCTTCTCTGACAGGATCTAATTTCTATTCTTTTCAACAGTTCTGCTGACCTCCTGTACTCTCTCTCCTTGCGCTGCACAGAGTTTCGCTTGGCTGCTGGTCTCCCAATCTCCATACATTAAAGATGCATTTATACTTTTTTTTTTACAGTGCTCTGAACATAATTACAAAAGCTTTGAATCCAGAATCAAAAACGAGCAGTTTGATCACATAAAAGCTAATTTCTGAAAACCGCCACACACAGAGATTCAAAGTCAAAGGGAGGACAAACTTAGAACTCTTCAGGTACATCCAGGGGGAAAAAAAATATTTTTCAAGCAGACCCACAAAAAAGTTTATCACAGGCAGCAACTCAAAATTCTGGCCCCTACTACCTATTGTTTTCTAAGCCTGTTGAAGTTCTATTATTCAGTCTGCCGAGTTTTTTCATTATAGGTAGCTAATGTGCCATTTCTATATAATGACAGTCTTCTTCCATTTCCCTTTGCAATTAAAATCCATGATCAACCATTTAATTGTGAAATTTTTAAAAAGTAGTAGAGGACAATATTTAGAGCCAATGCAAATAAACAAAAGATAGGTAGAGTCTAAAAGCAACTAGAAGGTCTCCTTACTGTCATTCATAAGTATCTCCCACATACTTCCTGAGATAAATCTTGCCTTCTGGGTGTAGATTGAATTACAACAGAAAATATTTTACTGTGTTTGCTGCCTCATAAGCAGTTTGAGTTGCATTTGAACTCCAAATAACAAACATTTATAGTCTTCATGAAAAGAAGAACAACTTTGTGTTTGAAACTCTCTTCTGTACCACTCCTCACCTGACCACTGGACTTGTACTTCTCTGAACACTCATTTTGCTTGTCACTTCTCATGAAGCTTTTTCCTTACCTTGTGGTGATGTCAGAGTCAGTGCTTCTGTGTCCCAACACAGGCTCTGAGCAGCCCCTTATTCAATCAACACAAATAACTTTAATTTCAATGGTTTTCTTGACAGTTTCCCCCTAGAACTGTGTGATTCTTGAATGTATATGTTGCAACTTTTAACCCCCTCCTCTTAATTTCAGTCTTTTGCATGATAGAAACTCAATACATAATTTTGGGATAAGGGTTATATTCCCCAAACCACACACACAGAGAAGCATGGCAGTGGGAAAGAGTTCTTCATACGTCCATTTCAATTTAATAGAGAAAGCTAATAATAGTAGATAGATAGAGAGTATTTAGGGGTCATTTTTAAGAAAAAAAATATAAGTCTAGATTCAAAAAGCAAATGAATCCTTTCACTATTATTCACAAGGTGTAGCAGTATAAGAATGGTAAAATAGGGTTGGGGCTATGACTCAATGGCAGAGTGCTTGCCTAGCATGTGTGAGGCACTAGGTTCAATTCTCAGAACCACCTATAAATAAACAATATTAAAGGTCCATTGACAACTAAGAGAGAAAAAGAGAAAGAGAATGGTATAATGTTCACTCTCTCTCCCCATCCCTTTACTCCTGTTTGCAGGTGTGTGAGTCTTCCTGAAAGACTTCTTGCTTTTCCTTTAATCAACAAATATGTATCCAGTGTCCCAATGTTGGGAGCCAGGCTAAATGTCTTAGCCATACACCAATGCATGTTTAGAATTCTCCATTTCATAGAAGAGGTGCAATGTGGAACAAACAAATTTAATAATCCCTTAAGATAAAGATTTCTGGAACATCCAGAGAAGAGAAAAAAAAGAAACCATCACTTTCACACTTTCACTAAGACAAAATGAAGATTTTAATAAATTATTCAAGGAGGGAAAATGGTTGGATTGAGTTTTGAAAAAAGGTCACTAATAGACATAAGGGAAAAAAGAATTCTTAATGTGACAAAGGCATAGACATTAACAGCTTTGTTAGACAGAAACTTGCAAGAAAGCTTAAAAGAATGATATTCTTCCAAAAGACTGCATGAGCAAAAAAAAAAAAAAAAAAAAAAAAAAACAATAGTGAAGCTCTTCTCCAATCTCTTTTGCCTTAAGCTCTTAAGCTTTGTTGATTAATTTGGTGCCAACTTTTATCTAACTGTGAATATGGCAGTGAATCGTGTGGTAGGTATATTGTTTTTAGTAGCCACCCAAAGATATTTCAACCTAAACCATGCAACTGGTGACTATTAGATGTCATTCCTATGAGGACATTGCAATTCTGTAGTGATAGACAGCATTTTACCTTGAGAAAGGGAATTAACCTGAGATAATCACCATCTCAAGTGGCCCTGATGTAACCATTTTCAATCATTTAAGCTCAGAGCTTTATATGAAGGAAGGTAGAAGATGTCAGAGAGATTCAGGGAAGGAAGGATTCATACATCATTGCTTAATTGAAGATAGCTGAGAAGCTCATTTATCCAATAGCCAGCAATGATACAGGGACCTGAGATCTCCAATTGCAATGAACTGAACTCATTTGACAAACAGTGAGAATGGAGCTCTTTGAGATTTTGAGTTCAACCCTCTGCAGAAAAGCTCAGCCAAGCCTATCTGAATTCTGGTGTACATGGATATAGTTTTAAATTCACCAAGTTTGGGTAATTTGTTATGATGCAATAGAAAACCAATACAGATACATTGCTAACTATCTTTTTTTTTCTAATGTGAATTTGAGAATATATAAGTGTTAAAAACATTGTTAATATTAATTAGTTCAGGGCAGTGTATATTTCTACTTGCTTTACCCAATATACATTCCTTCTTCATCGTAAAAAAATAAGCAAATTATGAGCTTGTTAAACATAGCAACGTGTCCATCCAAAAGATTACATTGTTCAATCTTCCTTGCAGGTATGAAATGCTGTTGTGATTTAGCTTTGGTCAAGTATAACCAAACACACATATTATGTGTGAATTCTGGAAAGCTTTTATAAAAGTGAGGTATGTACAATCTTTTGCCTTTTTCTCCTTCCTGCTGGATATTGTATGGCTTCATACAATGTGGTATGGTGTCTAAAAATTTTGGAGCAATTTTGCAGTATGAGGTAATAATGATATCTATTGGTACATTATAAAATACCACAAAGTTTAATAGCATAAAAGATAAACATTTATTTTATCTCCAATTTCTATGGATCAGATGATTCTTCTTTTCCATAGAGTATCATTTAGGCTTACTTATTGAAACTCCCTTGGCAACAGGGCTGATCTGCAAGAACTATCATAGCTCACTTTAATTCCTGGGACTTTGCTATAACTAACTAAAAGACTGAACCCAACTGAGCCCCCCTTTTTTTTCCTTTGGAATTTCAGGGCCTCTCCAACAGGTTAGTTGGATTACTTACATGATAGCTCAGAGTTCTAAGAGTAAGTGCTTCAAAGAAGAGCATGAAGAAATTGAAATCATCCTGGGAATTGTCATAATGTCATTTCCACCATACTGTATTATTTAAAGTAGCTGCATATCCTGCCCAGATTCTATGAGAGGGATGTAGATCTCATCACTTGATGACAGAATGCTGAGAATTTGTGTCATCTTCTATAGGTGACCTGAAGATAAAGTGAAGAGCAGCCTCTCGATCCTTGAGCCAAAAGCTCCCAGACCAGCTTGAACTGATTATATCTATTTTTTTATATGCTAAAGAGAAATCAAAGTCCATCTGTTTTAAACAACTGGACATTGGATTTTTTTTTTGTATATGCATCAAAAACTGATTCTGAGAACATGTTGGGGAGATAAGGATCATGGTGATTTATTTACTGTGTGAAATATTTGTCTTCCAGGGTTTCCCACAGCCCTCTCTTATAGCATATAAAAACTCCATTTTCTCTTAGGATATCTCACCTGCAACTTTCTTCTGGTTGGTATGTAAGAGTTATGTGATTTTTTAATTCATATGCTATACTTATAGGTCCTTAATGAGAAAGCATCAAAGGTTTCTATTTTAATATTTTTTAAAATCAAGTTTTTATGGATAATAAATAAATGAAGGGGGGAAGCTCTTGAAAGAGGAAATTGGAGTGAAATTTTTGAACAGATGCATATTCAATTGGGAGCAATGTTGGCATCAGGAGCTTAGATTTCCCAGCTCTCCTGATAATATCCTTGCTGTTCATTATATATTTTAAGTTGCTCTGGTGATGGGCAGAGAAGTCGAAATTAAGGCAGCAGTGGGAAGGTTTCTTTTCTTTATTTGTAATTTGTTTTGCTTGAAACAACATCTTTGGAAGCAACATTATGCCACACTCAGTGTTTTGGACATGTGTACACTTACCATTTGCTTTCTTGCATATTTCCACTTACCTTTCACATATATACTTCCACTTCTCATTGCTCAAATTCTTACAGTAATGTCCTTAGAATTTCACTGAATGCATGCACATGAACTCTAATTCTCTTATACATTCTCAAATTACTTTCATCTTGTATTTATTCAGCCCTTTTCCAAACTTATTCTCACGAATACATGCTCTGGCCTAATGACACCTTCATTTATATTCTAGTCTCTCTCATACCTCACACCGTTTTTTTTTTTTACAAGACAAATAAGTTTCTTTAAATTTCTCTAAGCCCAACCAACCTCTATTTCTCTAGACCAGAAGACCATGTGTCATGAAAGGGAATAATTGAAGGAAGATGATTTCAGATAACACTGAAGACTTTACACTTGAGTACTCCCCACCCTGCAAAAATCCCCACTAGAACTGCACAAGGAGTTCTCGCAACGTGGTCTCAACCACGTTCACAGGTTTTTGTAGAAATTTCCAAAGCAAGAAAATTTAATCCCGGTTGGTTAATTGATCTTCATGCTTACAATTTTCCATGTGTTGCAGGTAGTTGGAGTAGACATTGCTGAGATCCTCACAGAAGAAACTTATTTGGAATGACCCCATTTGGACTGCAACATGGAAAATATTCTTTCGACATTGACCCCCAAATGCAGTGACCCCAAAATTTGCAGGCACTGATTTGGACTTTCAAAGGGTGACTTCTCTGTTATTTAATTAATAATCAAAAGAAAAAAGATTCAGATAAAGTGTATTCTAAAGGAATCCTCCAAGCAATTAAATTCTAAATAGTTTTACATTGACAAGCAAATGTGAACTCTGACAATGATTAGATCACATAAAAGTAGAAATTCATTAAGAAGAAAAGGTCTGTTTCAAATAGATGTAATGAATAGACTCTTAAATTGTTTGATAATGCACTTAAATGAAAAGTCTTGAAAAGAGAGTACATTGAAAATTTTTAATTTGTTGCTTATTTTCAGATAAAGTGAGATTTTTCATATGTCTCTACAAAAGGACTTTGGGAACAAATTGATTACAATTGAAGGTATATATAAATAAATTAAGTTAATTGCATGACAAAGCCAAGGTGCCTTGCAATCTTACTACCTATATGTGAAATAAATTTGATGAAGTTTTTGACAATATTTCCAAAAATATGACATTGAACATAATGGAAGAAAAATCCTCAAAGAATAAAAAAAAATGTACTGTCCAAAATACATGGAAAAAGCACTATGAGAACAAATGGGTTGAAACAAATTCAAGAAGTAACTTTAGGATACTCCTAATCCTATAAAGAATGAAAGATTATATATCAAAGGAAATTTAGGGAGTACCTGAGTTCTAGGTGAGAAAATAAATTTGCATCATTGAAATATCTCCAAAGAAAAGTCTTCAAAGAAGTTTAAGAATAAAGAAGAGGTGTAGTGCCTTTCCTGAAAGTGGTATGGGATATGCCAAAATTGAGGGTAAAAACTTAAGAATAGGGGTTCAAATGAGGAGCATGGAAAGGAATTTAGATAAACAGGAACCACATTATTCAGAGCTTGTGGATAAGAACAAAGGGCATAATATTAAGGATAGAATGATGAAGTTGAATTCCTAACCATTAGAATATCTGTTGTTCTATCCTTCAAATGTTTCCTCACATTTTATCATTTGTACAAATCACAAAACCAAATGATTGTGTGGAGAAACCAAACACTGCCTCTCTTTACCATTACACACTTGAAAAAAATCCACAGAAATCTTTTCCAGCATCAGCAGATATTCAATATCATCACATTAATTAATTATTTCCTTCTGGACACAAGTGTGAAGTGCAGAGGTGATCTGCTACCAACCCAAATTATATGTTCCATGTTGCAAGCTTACAAAGTCCAGTTGCCTCCACTCTTATTATTATTATTAAGGGTATCCTACAATTGTATGGCCATCTGAAGTCTTTCATAGCAATCCATTAGCCCATCTGTCACTAGAATTCAAATATATTGCATTGATTTTTCAATAAGAAAATGAAAAAAAATCTCAAAAGGTTAATAGAAACCTCAAATTTCAATATATCTTAGAATTTCCCAAGGAACCCTGACAAAAGTTATTTAGTTCTCATAATAAAATCTTTTTCAAGACAACACTCAGCTACGGAGATTCTCTTCTCCATTCTTATTTTTTTTCTCTGCCTCTCCACTTTGGTGAAGATGCCTATGGGAAAATCTGAAACAGTTTTATTAGAAAGATCACACATACTCATAATAGTATCTTTCATAATAGCTTTTACATCATGACCCATTAGGGTTTCTTTTTACACTAGTCTGGCATGACAGTGTAATTCCTTGCTAAATTCTATATTAGCAAGGATGAGTAATAATTCAACATGATGCTAATATAGCACAAATTTAAATTGCTAATCCAATGAAACCTTCTTTTGTTGTACATTGCACTGATCACTGTGATTTTCTCAATAAAATATTAGAATTCTGTAAAGACAAAAGGAAACGTGAAAATCGTTCCCACCTGTTTTCTACTCTTGACAGAGTCTATGTTTTGAGAAGGAAGTAGTTTACTGTCAGCACCACTTACCAAAAAGGATGTACAAAAATAGTCTGAAAAACGTCCCAGAGAACTTCACTCCAGGTATGGGTAATATTGATGCTTCTCTTGTTCTTTTGGGCCCTTTAATGTGAAAGTCAATAAATTACCAAGTCTGCCCTCATATTCTGAAATCCTTCTCAAACTTGACTGTTTTCTTAATTCCAAATTCTATTACATTACCTAAGTTTTTAAAAATTGTTTAATTTATTCCATATTTTTTATTGGTGCATTACAGTTGTATGTACCGATGGGATTTGTTATTACATATTTGTACATGCACATAATATAACAATGTAATTTGGCTAATATAATTCCTCAGCACTCCCCTCTTTCCACCCCCTCCCACTCCTTGATCCCTTTTCTCTACTTATCTCCCTTTGATTTTTAGGAGATCCATCCCCAACTTTCTTTTCCTTTTTTTCTCTAGAGTTTCCATATATGAGAGAAAACATATGACCTTTGACCTTCTGAGTTTGCCTTCTTTCACTTAACATTATGGCTTCTAGTTTCATCAATTTTCCTGAAAATTCCACAATTTCATTTTTAAGGATATATATATATATATATATATATAGTCTTTATACATTCATTTGTTGATGGACACCTAGACTGGCTTCATAGTTTGGCTGTTGTGACTAGTACTGCTGTTAACATGGATATGTATTACTGTAGTAAGATGACTTTAATTCTTCAGGATAAATACAGAGGAGTGGTATAGCTGGGTCATATGGTGGTTATATGACTAGGAACTTTCATACTGATTTCCATAGTAGTTGTACTCATTCAAAATCCCACCATCAATGTAAAAGTGTTCCTTTTCCTCCACATCTTCTCCAGCATGTTTTATTATTTGTGTTCTTGATGATTGCCATTCTGATTGGTGTGAAATGAAATATCAGTGTAGTTTTGATTTGCATTTCCCTAATTGCTAATGATGTTGGACATTTTTTCATGTATATGTTGACCATTTGAATTTCTTCTTTTGAGAACTGTCTGTTTAGTTCATTTGCCCATTGATTAACTGAATTATTTGATTTTTTGGTATGAAGTTTTGTGAGCTCTTTGCATATTCTAGATATTCATTCTCTATCAGAAGAATAGCTACCAAATATTTTCTCCGATTCTATGGTTTCTTTATTCACATTCCTAATTGATTCCTTTGCTGTGCAGAAGTATTTTGATTTGTCGTTATTGCATGTATTAACTCTTGGCATTGTTTTAAGCTTTTGAGGTCCTATTGAGAAAGTCATTGCCTGTGCCTAAAAGCTGGAGTGTTAACCTTACATTTTCTTCTAGGAGTTACATAGTTTCTGGTCTAATTCTGAGGTCTTTTGTCCAGTTTCTACTACTTCTTTCTGGTGTATACTTTTCTGTCAGAATAAAATAGTGGTTGAAATAATAAACTTCTTAGTTAAATTTCTGAGTTTATTATGCATTATATCCAAGTAACTGTAGAAGACTCGAGAAATGTATTTTTCTCTTCTGAGTGAAAATAAGAACATCAAGAGTTTTTACTTCATAGTGCTTTTCCAAGAGTTGGTTCAGGTGATGTTTGTTAGGTTCCCATTATGTAACTAGCATATGGAAGATAATAAATGTTGGTCAATAAAGAAATAAGATCCCTCTTACCTTTAATACAATAGTCAAATTGGTAGGTCAAATTGAGTTATCATTTTAAGGCTATGTTATCCATAGAAATTGTTCCAATTTGCCTCCTCATCATGTATTATCCTGTGTAAATGAAAGCACTCTGACCTACATTATTATATTATTCCTTGATTGATATATTTTAAAATTTTATAACTGTGGTCACTTTTGAAATTTTAATAAGGTTGACTTTTTATGTTTAAGTGCTATTGATATTTGTCTGATAGTCTAACATATACTTTCCTTGTTTTTACATTGGTAAATTCATACTTATTTTATGATTTAAAGGAATTATTGCATGTGAACATATTACCTATTGTCTATATGATTGTCCAAAGTTGCTCAAGGAGTGTCATTGCTGAGCCTGGGATCCTGGTCTGTCCTGCTGTGCTCCCTACCACCACCCCAAGTGCTCCCCAGGTAAAAAATAAATCTTAAAAAAAGGATTATTAGGAGATACCAGAAACAAATGTACCACAAGTTCCAAAAGGAAACATAAGAACAATTTCAGCTAAATTATAAAAGATCAGATAACCTCCAAAAAATGACCAAAGGACTTACTTGAATAGAAATTTCTCCAAAAAAAGAATTGTAAATGGCAATAATCATCTGGGAAAAACTCAAACTCATTACCAAGATGGAAATCCAAATCAAAACCAGTGAACACCAGTTCATATTTACTGACAATGACATTAACAAAGAAAAAACAATAAGAATATGGAGAAATTGGAATCCCTTACTCCACTCATGGGAATCAAGTATGGTGGAACACAGTCTGTCTCATTTTCCCCAAGTTTAAGCATAGAGTTATCATATGGCTGGCAATTCTACTCTTAGATATAGACCCAGGATAAATGAAGCATGTCCACACAAAAACTTACTTATGGGTATTATATTAACAGGCTAGGGATGCTGTAATAAAAACCTACAGAATAGCTTAAACAAGTAGAATTTATTTTCTCAGAGTTCTAGATGCTGGGAATTTGAGATCAAGGTGTCAGTGGGGTTGTTCTGAAGACTCTTCATGGTATCTTGATGTTGTTATTTTCCTGATGCCTTCACCTGGTATTGCTAATCTCTCTGAGCTGTTAGTATCCTAATGTCATGTTCTTATGACACTAGTTACATGGGATGCTCACCCATTATAAAGACCTAATGTAAACTTCATTACCTCTTCAAAGACCAAGTTCAGTCATATTCTGAAGTATGAGGAGTTATGGCTTCAACACAGGAGGTATTTTTTTTGAGTTGGGGGGACACAGTTCATAACAAATATTTAAAGCAACATTATGCATAATAGCCAAAGAGTGGATGGATATAATCCAAAGATCTATCAACTGATGAATGGATAAGTAAATGTTGGACATCTATATAATGGATATCATTGGCAATAAAATGTAATGAAGTACTGGTATTATGTAGCATAAAATGGACCTTGGAAACATTATGCTAACTGGAAGAAGCAGTCACAAAGTGCTGTATATTTTATTAAATGTCCAGAATAAGGAAATCAATTCAGTTGGGTAGTAAATTAGTTTTGTATGGCTGGGGGTGCAGTTAATTTGGGGCAAAGGATTCGTGAATAGTTATACATATGAGTTTTCTTTTTGTGGAGATGAAAATATTCTAAACTTGACAGCTGTGATGTTTGCAAAACCTTGCATATGTACTAAAAACCCACTTAATTTTACAGTCTGCACTGGTGAGTTGTATAGTATATGTCTCATATTTCAATAAAAATGAAATACATTGAAACAAAAAAAAGTAAATAGAATGACATATAGGGAAACCGAGAAA